TTGCCATCTTTCGTCGAAGCGGTTCAGAAAGCTTCCACATCTCGATTCTATTCGCGCGCAGTGCAGCGCAGCGCAGCGCAGGCCTCCCGAGAGGCTGAACTCTGCTGCCTCTTTTAGCAGCCCCTGCTAGCACGCACATGCTAATCTTTGCGTGCTGGTTTCCTGCTTTTGGGGTTTTGTTTTCACTGATGTCTCTAGGAGCCAAAGAACCGAGCAATGAGACGCTGTCAGCCGCACATTCCCACAAACTGACCGCTGTAATTACTGGAATTAGGGAGCTATTTCATCATTAGCATCACTCTGAATGAAGAGAGAGATGGAGAGCGGGAGAGAGAGCGATGACTGATCGGATCCGAAGATCCCCCCTCCCTCCCTCAACCCCCTCTCCCTCACAGCACTTCTCCTGTTTAAATCGGCTCTTAATGCTCTAATACGGTTCCAGTCAGCTATTGTGAGCGCTGATGGTTGGGGACGAGTTAAAAAAAAGGAGGAAAAAAAAAGAAAAAAAAAAAGTCACCGCCAACATAAATGCACTTTTGTTAGCATCGGCGTGCAAATGCCAGCGCGCGCCTTTTATTTCCTAATGTCTTATTTGCACGGCGTTGATTACAGGGTGTGTATTCGAATAAATGAATGTGGAAAACAAAGAGCGGGCAATCAGCACTTCACGGAGCGCTGAAATGTTCGGGACAGCTTAATGAGGGAGCTCAAAACACACATGCGCATATACACACACAGGCCTTTTGAGATGACACTCACACGTGTGACACGTTAGGCAGGGCTTGCACTTTGTGCCTAGACGTGAAGCATAATCTTAATATGTAAATTAGTGCCGAATGTTTCCGGGACAAAAGAGGGATCAGTGCGAGAGGGAAACATTTCAGTGTGGCACAATGCTAGCTGTCAGCGCGGCAGAGGAGGAGATGGATTTGGTATTGAACAGGGGATGATGCGCAAACTCTCGTGTGACACGTGGAGCGTCCTCGAGGCTTTGATTAAGTGCTGTATCAGAGAAAACTCTGGAGGAGACTTTGCAACAGGGGTGGGGGTGGTGGGATGGTGGGATGGTGGGATGGTGGGGTGGGAGGGGGATGAAAAAGAAAAAACACCACAAACCACATTACGGCTAATGACTGTGATGTTACATCCTCGAATTCAATAAAGCGACCACCTAAATACCATAATTACTCTTTATGCAGTCTGTGGCCTAGTCGTCCATGTTGGTCATCTAGACGTTGTCGTTCATCTGCGCAGCGTAATTACACGGTTGATATTTTCGCCGCTTGCAAAAGAGAGAAATCGTCGCCAGCTTGTCACAATATAATGATGTTGATATTCATCTTCGCTCAGACCTGACGAGAAGGCTCGCTGTACGCTATATGTCAATTAGCAGAGCTAATTTCGAGGCCTTATGCTTTTTTGGTCTTAAAGTATCCAGGCAGTCCCGCCTGAGTGAATTCAGCCACTTTCATTCCACCAAACTTCTGCATGATTCAGTCCTCAAGATGTAAACAGAGTCATTCAGAGTGGTTTGGTGTGAAACGCTCTGTTCTAGAGAAACTTACCGAGTCAGAATTGTTCACAGTGGTGGTGATAGGAACCAGACGTCCACCTCTAAAAGCTCCCTCACAGAAAGTTACTACATGAAATGGTTATGAATTCACTGCCTGATGTCTGAGACGTTTGACCTAAAACGTTTTTTAAATCATGGTGGAGGGATCCATGCAGGGTGTTGTGAGGCAAAATAGTCCCCGAAGAAATTTTTACCATCATCAACATTCTATATAAAAGCTCAGAAGACACGTAGATAGTAAATAAAATGTCTATATTTGTGTTGTAGTCATGGTGACCCCTGATTTCTATCACCACCACTGTAAAGAGGCACATTTTTTACTGTTAAAGTCTTAGGTTGTCTAACATAAACATTTTGGTTAACTTTAGATGCTAGTGGGTTAGGCGGTATATATTGAGACCATCAACTTATTTAAGTGATAATAGCTAGTAAACAGCAAATAGTTTCAAAGTGCAACTTATGTGACCTCCATAGAAAACCTTTGTGCTCTGGAGCAGCCACACACGAGTCTAAGGTCACCATGCCCAATGCTAAGTGTGGGCTAGAAGGGTCTAAAGCCCCCCAGTATTGGGCTGTGGAGCAGTGGAACTGTGTTATCTGGAGTGATGGAGCTCCATCCAGTACCTTTGGGATGAGTTGGAGTGATCCAGAACTGACCATCCATCGTCAGTACCTGACCTCACTAATGCTCAATCAAATCCTCACAGCAATGTTTAACGCCTAGAGTATAGATATAAGATATAATACATTATGTGGGTGTTTTTCTATTATATAACAGTTGCGAAAGTTGCAGCATGAAAATAATATCATTATTCATTTGATTGTATTTAAATGATGGTTCTGTTGCTACACGTTAAGGTGTTGGCTGTTTGAGTACAACAGAAAATTGTGATATGCTGCCCTCTAGTGTCTTAAGAAAAAACAAGGCAATACAATACAACCCACCATACAATACACACACACACACACACACACACGCACACTTTGTAAGCCACCTATCCGCAGGTCATAGGGCAGAAGGCAGGAAACACCCTGGACTAGTCACCCAGTCCATCGCAGAGCAGACATACAGACTTATACACATACATACACACACACTCACACCGAGGGGCAATTAGTATCTTTATTTGGCTGGCACCCAGAGGAAACTTAAGCAAACATGGGGAGAACAAGCGAACACCTGTACAATAGTAAATACAAAATAACCAGAGCTTTTTACACTACTGAAATAGTAAAATGTTATATGGTCTTGCCCTGCGATGGACTGGCGACCTGTCCAGGGTGTATCCTGTCTTCTGCCCAATGACAGCTGGGATAGGCTCCAGCACCCAACCGCGACCCAGAAGGATAAGCGGTTTAGAAGATGTATGTATGTATGTATGTTATATGGTCTTTAACAAACATGCAGAAATAGAAAAAAAACACCTCTGGGTTTAAAATATAAATACTACTGTAACCCCTCTTTTCAGTGACTGATATGTGGAAATATGAAAATGAAATTAACCAAAGAAAGCATAAAAATGTGTTATTGTACCTTCAGCACAGAATAAGGACTTGTATGGAAGTGTCATCTCAGATTAAAGAGGCGTAGCTCAGGGTTTCAAAAACCAGTTGTTAAAAGTGTTAAGAAGAAAATCAGGGACAAACAGATGATCATGATGTTTCCTCCTCAGTGGTGACTCCTCTGTTTTTTCCCTTTGACACACTAAACCTCCTTATCGGGCTACTAGGCCATAGTTCAGGATGACTCAGATTTAAAGAAAAAAGACTGTGTTTGTGTGTGACATTACACTTGATCTGCAGTAAAAGTAGGAAAATGTGAAAAAAGAAAAGAAAAGAAAACAAAAATAATAAAATAATATGCTGAAAATAAATGTAGAATATATAATGTAATATATATGTATACAGTATATGTATATGTATATAGTATATATGTATACAGACACACAACACCACCACATCTGTGTCACTGCAGTGCTAAGAATGACCGACCACCCAAATAATACCTGCTCTGTGGGGGTCCTGACCATTGAAGAACAGGGTAACATGCAGAGAACAGGGTAAGTATGCAGAGAAACAGATGGACTACAGTCTGTAACTGTAGAACTACAAAGTGCTCCTATATAGTCATTGTAGCTGATAAAGGGGAATATATGATAATTTATTCATATATTTATTATTTATCCCTACCCCCCTCTTTATTTCTCATTGGGTGGGAGGCAGGACCTCTGTTTATTTCTATTTTACTTATATGCATATAATCATAAAATATAACATAACATAATATGTCAATGTCAGTGACCCAACAGTTCATCTTGGTTAAACCCAATAAAACAAAAATTGGATTAATATTGCATAATAATATTATTAGGATGATTAATAATTGTGCTCTTAATATGTACTATTATTAGAGCAGCAGCAGAATCACGTGGGTCGGTGACACGGAGTTGTTGTTGTCACGTGAGCAGAAACTACGGAACACGTCGCTGGACAAAAGGGAGATCTTACTGTGGGCGATTTAGGAGATTAAAAATGACCGAATTCGGTTTCTTCAGGTCGTTTATCTGCAGAGTTTTCATCCTAATGCTGGGAGTCTCGCCTTCACACTGAGGACAGAGCTGCGCTTGGTAAGATAATTAAAGAGACGCGGTGGAAAAACTGAAATCTGTGATAGTTTTCCTCCTGTTCGCCAGCTTATTTGTTTTTCCCGTTCCACCTTAAATGGTGCAGCAGTTAACGTTACGTACAAATGTAACTTCTGCACCATTTAAGGTGGAACGGGAAAATTCGAACAAGAAGTTGGTGAACTGACTTAAGCTTAATCTTTTCCGTTCTGATAGTTCAACTCGCATAGATGAAGTCAGACTAACTTTGACATTAATAAAGCTCATATGGTAGCTAGGTGATCGATTATGTTGGATAAAAGTCTATCAAAATTTAAAAAAATGAGGACAGATGTTGGTTCAAATTCAGTTATAATGTCACTACGAAGCCGTTCCACCTTAAACGGAGCAGCGATTGCACTATAGAGCCTTAAGGTAGAACGGGAAGTTCGAATAAGAAGCCAGTTTCAGCCTCTTAACAGCTTTACATTGTTGACATTTCTAGTATTATTTTGTTTAAATGTAGTTTCGTTTGCTCCAGTTCTGAGGAACAACACAAAACCGTTCTCAAAACTAATAATATTCATCAGCGAGGCCGCTGATTGGCTAGTCGGGGAGAAAGGACGTCTCTGATTGGCTACTCAGTGAAAGCCCGTCGCTGATGGACTCGTTCTGTTATGCTCGTACCTGAGACCTGTAAGCTTAAAGCTGGTGAGCCCCGACGGTGATTGGCTAAACCAGAGAACCTGGGGAGAAATCTCGTCGCTGATTGGCCCCTGCGCCGCCTGTCGTCCCTGATTGGCTGTTGGGGAACCTGGCTAAAGGTTGTTCCGATCAGCTGCTCTCTGCGGATATCTCACTTCAGCAAACAATGTAGGAGAAACAGCGCAGTGACCGGCACACGGCGCGCAGCAGTCTGATAGAAAGCTTCCAGGCAGGCAGGGCTGTTGTTTTTGCTCACAAAATCCGATCATATTTCAGCTCGTCTGTCCGGTTTTTGAACATTTTCAGTGATGAGAAAGCGGAATCAGCCGCCCGGCGCAGAGCAGCAGCAGCAGCAGCAGCACGGAACGGCCACCGGCGCGCTGCTGGACGGCAAGCAGAGCTCCGGGGGAGACGGACAGTGGGGCAAGACCATGGGCAGGAGGCTCAAGAGGTCAGAATAAACACAGCAGCCTCTACTGGCTGCCAAATGCTTCTTAAACTGTATTATTGTGGAGGTGCTAGTGGACCTGGTTTCACTAATACTGTTATTGTAGTGGCACTAATGGCATTACAGTTTCACTAGTGCCTTAGGCTTCACTAATAGTGCTATTACAGTGGCACTAGTGCATAAGGTTTCATTATGTTTTCATATTGTAGTGCTTAAGATATTAATGGTGTTATTATTGTGATGCTAGTGCCTAAGGTTATGTTAATTGTTTTATTATAGTGGCACTAGTACCTGGTTTAATTAATAGTGCTATTACAATGTCACTATTGCCTTAAGTTTCATTAATTGTGTTATTATGGTGTCACTAGTGCCGTACGTTTCATTAATCATGATGTAATATGTTTATTATGTAATATGTTGTAATATGTAATATTATTAGTGCGTTAATTGTGTTGTTATAGTGTCACTGGTGCCTAAAGTTTCTTTAGTCATGTTATAATAGTGTTACTAGTGCCTGAAGTTTCGTTAATCATGTTATTATAGCTTTACTAGTGCATTATTCATGTTATTAATAGTGGCATTAATGCATAGGGTTTCATTAATTGTGTTATTATAGTGTCACTAGTGCCGTAGGTTTCATTAGTCGTGTTATTACAGTATCACTAGTACCTTAGGTGTCATTAATCATGTTATTTTAGTGTCACTAGCGCATAGGGTTTCAATAATCATGTTTTTACATTGCTTAAGGTATCATTAATAGTGTATAGTGATGTTAGTGCCTAAGGTTTCATTAATTGTTTTATTATAGTGGCACTAGTACCTGGTTTCGTGAGTCATGTTTTTATAGTGTCACTACTGCCTTAAGTTTCATTAATCGTGTTATTATTGTGTCACTAATGCATACATTTAATAACAATGTTATTATAGTGGCATTAGTACGTAGTTTCATTAATCTTGTTTTTATAGTTTACCCGGTTTCATTAATACTGTTATTATAGTGACGCCTGGTTTCATGAATACCATCATAATAGTGTCACTAATGCAAGTTTTCATAAAGGATGTTATCATAGAGCCACTAAATGTGTTGTTATAAGCTTTAATTAATTGAGTTAACTAGTTTTATTAATAGCTTTATTATATTAGCAGTATAGTATAGCATCGTATAGTGACACTAGAGTTTTCATATGTTGTTTTATTATAGTGTCATTAGTGCCTAAAGTGTCATTAATCGTGTTATTGTAGCATCAGTAGTCCCTAAAGAGTCATTAACCTTGTTATTACAGTGTCACTAGTGCCTAAAGGTTCATTAATCGTGTTATTACAGTGTCACTAATGCCTAAAGTTTCATTAATCATGCTATTATAGTGTTACTAATGCCTAAGTTTTCATATGTTGTGTTATTATAGTGTCACTAGTGCCTAAAGTTTCATTAACCATGTTATTATAGTGTCACTAGTACCAAAGGTTTCATTTGTGTTATTATAGTGTCACAAGTGCCAAAGGTTTTATTAATTGTGTTATTACAGTTTCACTAGTGCCTAAAGTATCATTAATCGTGTTATTACAGTGTCACTTGTGCCTAAAGCGTAATTAACTGTGTTATTATAGTATCACTAGTGCATACATTTTCATTAGAAATGTTATTATAGAGCCATTCGTGACTGAACATTTCATTAATTGTGTTCTTGTAGTGGCAATAGTACCTGGCTTCATTAATTTTGTTATTAAAGTGATGCTCATGCCTGGTTTCATTAATCTTGTTATTGTAGCGATACGAGTGCCTGGTTTTATTTAATGTGCTGTTATAGATTATTATTATAGTTTGTTTATAGTTTGTATTAGTCGTGTTACAGTGCATCTAGTATCTAAAGTTATCTTAATCATGTCGTTATTGCAGTTATCAGTATTGAGTAAGACGGTTCAGAAATACTGCTGAGTTACTGTGGGCAGCTGAAAAAAACCTAATGATTGCACCACAGCTGTGGGCTGCATTGTTTTGTGACTCAGTTTGTCTTTGCATAAAAGTTTCCTCTCTCTTCAGAGTGTGTAGGCTGTATCAGAATCACTGGGCCTTTTATGGATGCTGGGTTACGTGTAGCGGTCCATTGCAGGGGGATGGAGGAGGCAGTTTTTAGGTGCCGTCATAGTTTCGGACAGGATGAGCCAGTTTTAGCTGGGCTGAGTGATTTGCTGAAAGCTTGCACTTGCCTAATGAAGACTGTTCACTCTGAGTGGTGATATCCCTTGTCTGGCTACCTGACTACAGGTCATGATCGTGAAGAGCGGGGATCCTGTTTGTCCTGCTAGCTGAAATTCCAGTCGGACGTGAAGCCCCAGCACAGTGTGCTGGAAAAGGAATTCCAATGCAGCCTTTTCACCACAGCAGTGCGCTGAGCTTTCAGAGCAAGTGCTTTCTCTGCTCCAGCACGTCTGGTTTATCTCATCAATTAACTATCAAGCTCTTTATGAGATGAATTAGATGTGTTAAAGAGACTAAACCATGTGATTGTGTGGTTTTGTGGCCGTCTAGGACTTTCCTCCCATCGCCTAATATCTCTGTAGTAAGCAAAGGTGCCCAAAACTGTTGGGACATTTTCAATTCCTCTTTGGGGCTCAGATTCCAAAAGCATTCACTCTCAAAAAAGATTCTTCAAGGGTTCTTTAGTAAAGACAACGGTTCTATATAGCACCATGAGGAGCATTTGCATGCTTAAATGGTTCTTTGCATGGTTCAGATTGATTGAGAATGTTCTGTACATGGTTCTATGTAGAATCCTTTTGAAAAGGGTTCTGTATAGCACCAAAAAGTATACGCTTGACATTGTAGCAATACTGGAACCCTTTTTGGTGCTATGTAGAACCATTTTTAAAAGGTTTTTTATAGAACCATATACAGCATGGTCTCCATCAATATGAAGAACCATTTCACCATGCAAAGAACCATTTAAGCATGCCAATGGTTCTGTATAGAACCTCTTTTCCCTTTTGAAAAGGGTTCTTTATAGCACTAAAAAGTATACAAACTTGACATTGTAGCAATAGCAGAACCCTTTTTGGTACTATATAGAACCATTTTTTAAAAGGTTCTTTACAGAACCATATACAACACAGTCTCCATCAGTATGAAGAACCATTTCACCATGCAAAGAACCACTGATCCATTCAGATGAGTCTTAGAACCATTGTCTTTACTAAAGAACCCTTGAGGAAGCATCTTTTTAAGAGTGTAGTAGTGTTAACCTTATTGTAACTGCTAGAGAGAGCGTTCCGTGTGATGCTCGCTCTACCATCTAAAAACTGTCTTTATTTTTAGATGCTTTTGGGAAACCCAGTCCTGATTGGCTGTCTGAACTTCCGTATGTTCACAGTTCCGTGCCGTGCATTTTATTATTCCGACATACTTTTCCAAGCAGTTTCGTGCTCTGCACACCATGACGGCGTGAGCCTTTCACAGATATTAATTATAATAGCTATTTCTAAGTATATCTAAGTATATTAATGACTTGACTAATTAAAATAACACATTTCTTTAGTTTTTCACTGTATTCATGTTTATTTGTTATGTGTTCTGATGTTATATAGCATTTTAACTGGTACACAGTCTACTGAGATAAAACGCTTTAAACAGTGTTCTTTTGCACAGTACTCTGTGTGGGTGTGTGGGTGTGTGTGTGTGTCTGGATGTGTGTGTGTGTGTCTGCTGCTCAGATGCCAGATGAAAATCACTCTCTGTACTTGTCTTTGGTAGATGATGTTTCTTCCTGTTTTTTGGAATGAAATCACCAGTGGAACCATTTCTGGACTCTCATTGCGTTTTTGACTAATCTGATGAGTCAGGAGCAGAAAACCAGCGTTCTCCATCTGGGGCAGTGTTTACCTACCAGACATGAACTCCACCCATAAAGCAGCATCGGTACATAACGATGCAGTTTCAGGTCGGAGCAGAACTGACGAATACTTTTATTATGATGCACCTGAAACTAAACGCTGTTAAAGCGCAGTTCTGTAGGAGGGACTGACTGTGTGGGTGAGCCGTGATGGAACGTTAGCGCTGCTTTGTGCTCACTGTTCTGTTTTTACTTCAGAGAGAGGGGGAGAGAGAGAGAGAGAGAGAATAGAGAGAATGTGTGTTTGCCTTCTCGAACAGAAAGCAGAGACTCGTTCTTCTTCCTCTTACAGAAACTTGAGTGAGAAAGAGTGATGCTTTCTCTGGTGAGAGAGAGAGAGAGAGAGAGAGAGAGATGGGGGGAGGCTGAGTGATTTTCTCCTTTAACTGAAACACGAGAGAGAAAGAGTGATGTTTTCTCCGGGAGCGGACAGAGAGATCGTTTTTCCCCTTCAGTGGTGAGGGAGACACTTTCAGCTAGAGCGGCTGAGTGAGAGAACTTTCCTGAGAGAGAGAGAGAGAGAGAGAGAGAGAGAGAGAGAGATTTTCATCTATAGCAGTTGAGTGAGAGAGCTTTACTGAGAGAGAGAGAGAGAGAGAGAAAGAGAGGGAGAGATTTTCATCTATAGCAGTTGAGTGAGAGAGCTTTACTGAAAGAGAGAGAGAGAGAGAGAGACTTTCAGCTAGAGCAGCTGAGCGAGAGAGCTTTCCAGAGAGAGAGAGAAAGAGAGAGATATTCATCTATAGCACCTGAGTGAGAGAGCTTTACTGAAAGAGAGAGAGAGAGACACTTTCAGCCAGAGCAGCTGAGCGAGAGAGCTTTCCTGATAGAGAGAGAGAGATATTCATCTATAGCAGCTGAATGAGAGAGCTTTACTGAAAGAGAGAGAGAGACTTCCAGCTAGAGCAGCTGAGCGAGAGAGCTTTACTGAAAGAGAGAGAGAGAGATTTTCATCTATAGCAGCTGAGCAGGAGAGCATTTCTGAGAGAGAGAGGAGAGAGAGAGACTTTCTGTTTGAGCTGCAGTGGATGAGAGAGAGAGTTTTTCTTTGGCTGCCGGAGCTCAGCGTGCAGACGTTGCCGACTCAGCAGAAACGCTACATCCCCTTCTGCTGTG